GGGGGGGGGGGGGGGGGGGGGGGGGGGGGGGTGGACAACGTGAAGGTTCTTTTCGTCGTCACCCATTTGCAGCGGTAAATAGTTGACCGTCACTTTTAGCGGGGGGGGGGCGGCGGTAGCCGGAAACCGAACGAGGAACAATACGGCCGGCCGAGGGGCAAAATCCCACTTCTGCTGCTGCGAAAAAAAACAACACAACCTACGGTTATTATTATCTAGGAAGGGAGAGGCAGCAGCAAGCCGGGTTGACAACATATGATGCCAAAAAACACCGACGCCTTCCTACTATGTGCTCATTAACTCCTTCAGTGTTTGATTTGATGTACTAACACAACAGAAACGACGCGCACCTGGATGGAGGCAACGCCGGCCTGCTGGCGCAAGTCTCCGAGGCGCACGCCGTCATGGCCGATGATGAGGCCGCTGGCGGCGTCAGGGATTAGCACCCTCTGCGTGATGTCCAGGCTGGTGTCCGCGGCGGTGTAAATTGTGGTGACGATGCGGTCGCAGGCCATCTGGACGCTGCCGGGCTCCCCAACCACGAGGACGACGCGCTCATGAGTCCCCGGGTAGAACCGGCCATTGGGCGTTACCTTGATGTCGGCGAGGCACTGCAACATGGACAACAAAATTGACGACGCAAACGCAAATGAATAAATAAAATCATTGAGGTGCACAAAAGCAAGTATTTTTTAGGGTGATGCTTGGGGTTAGTCGGCGCGGCGAACAGACCATCGTCACGAGAAAAGAATAATCCAACAATGGATGTCTAGGCGAGTGAGGCCGTGGGGTAGGTCGGGCCAGGTGCACGATGGTTACATTTCCACCTTCCGTCCAACTGGGTCACGTCACGTGGGGTCTGTTGTTTCAAACTACGGAAGCAGTTTCAAAAGTTTCCGCAAAAAGCTGCTGGCTCTGTCGTGCACCATTTGGGATGTTCGCTTCCAGGCCTTGGAAAAAGCATTAGCTGGCGGAGTAGAGGACAAAAAATCACCGCTGCTGTTGTTAGAGGAACACAACGACCGACATGCGGGCAAAAAAATGCTTGCACTCGGCCTTTCTTTCACTCCCGAGACAACGTTGCTACATGGGGCGAAGGCAATGTTTGTGTTTTAGCGCGTCATTGTTGAGCGGAACAAGGGCCTGAAACGCGCGCGGGAATCTGATGATGAGCCCAACCCGTACGCATGTGTTGGACACGGCAGCACTTGCAATAGAACGAATCACCCGCCCTTTTTTTGCATGGATGGGATGGCTCTTTTCCGGGTAGAGAAAAAATAGTTGTGTGCCGATTAGGAGTGGTCGACACCAAGTAATATCAATCCGACAAGTTGCTGGAATACCGCATTGAACAAATACCTATCTTAGCGGGCATCGCAGGGAGAGGTGTCAATCAACTACATCAGTGTAATCGGAGGCCCAGAGGCGCGGCAGGGGTTGACCGCGAGACAGCAGCGCGGGAACGAGCAAAAATACATTCATGACCAACGCAAAATCCGGCTTCTAGCCAGTGGGGGTATGAGTAGTCAAACACCAGCATAAAACTCTCTTTTAGTATGGTCGACACCAACAATATTTTTTGAAAAGACAGATACATACACGGAGTTGGGAGAGTGAGAACATGATGATTTGTCTTTCTAGTGCGTGCCAACACGCCCCTCTCTCACCTCGTCCTTGATCTCGCAGATGCGCGTGCCTCCCTTGCCGATGAGGGTGCCGGCCATGCTGTTGGAGACGAGGAGCTTGAGTCCGAAGCGCCCGCCGGACGAACTCCCATTGTTGTTGGTAGCAACCACCCCTCCGCTGGGTCTCGCAGAGAGGGGTGGGGCGGCCGCAGCCGCCCGGGACTCGGCCTCCAGCGACAGCTGCTGCTGGAACGCGACCTCCTCGCTATGGCTCGACGTGGGCGACACCGCCGAGAGGCTGCTGCTGCCGGTGTTGCCGCCCCCGCGCATGTGCAGGCTCGGCGTGCAGGGAGAGCTCGGCGCGGTGTCGTCTAGGTGCTGCTGCTGGTGGTGGTCCATCTTGTAGTCGGACGCGGAAGAGCAGCCTATATGATGATGGTGATGCTGCTGCTGCTGCCGCTGCTGCTGCTGCTGGGGCTGCGGCTCCTTGCGGTACAGCGGGCTCGACCCTCGAGAGGTCGGGAACCCGATCACGCTCTCGGCTCGCTCCTCCACGAGGTCTTCGCGGGAGAGCGGGGGGCTGTTGCCGCTGCCGGCGTCCTCCAGGAGCGGCGCCGATGCCGAGCGGCTGGTGCTGTCGAGGCCCCGCATCATCTCCTCGAGGTCGCCCGAATTCCACGTCAATGGCACGCTCGGCTCAGACACGGGCCAGCCCGCCGCCGCCGCGTTTCCCTCGCCGGCGGTGGGAGTTCCCGTCGGGGACGCGGACGTCAGGGCTTTCTCGTCCTCCGGCGTGGGGTTCAGATCCCACGCCGCCATGCTCGCGAACAGGGTCGACATGCTGTTGCTGCTGCTGGTGGCTGCTTGGCGCGTATCCGTGGGTGCAAAACACCGGGGGCTGCGGCGAAAACACCAGCAGACTTTGTTGTTGCAGGCTCGGAGTTTGCTACTGGAAGACGCTGCTGCTGCTGCTGCTGCACCCGAAGAGACGGGCAATGCCGCGCGAGACACTCCGTGTTCCTGTTGCTCCGTTCCGCTAGGGTGGGAACAGGCGGGAGGGGGCTGGCTGGGTGTAGGTGTAGGGCGTAAATCTCGTCAAACACCACAAAGGATGTGATTTTCAACGAACCTAGTGGGTGGGTGCCTGTTGGACTCCTGTACCTGCGCAAGAATAAACTGGCGTCTGCTGGGTGAATCTTTTCGCAGATGGAAATCGTGATGGCCCTGGAGAGAGGGTGGAGGTGGGAGGGCACGCGTTCCTGGATGAGGGATCGGAGTGCAGCTTCGGGGTTTGTGCGAGTGGGTGGTGTGTGGCCGAGGGTTGTGTGTGTGTGCGTGTTTCAGACACGCGTTTGTGAGCTGATTTCATTCATTCAGGCGTGCCCCTGCCGCGGCTGGTAGGTGGTAAATTAAATGACGGGGGAACATTTGGACCTTTGAGCAGGTGCTCGACCAATCAAAGTCGACAGAATCGCGTCGCTGCGCTGAGAGATGCTGGAGAGGTAGGGTGACCGACATATACCCCACCGATCCCACCCCCCACTGGACAAAAGCGGCGTTGGTGTCCACGGGGCATGCAGATCAGATAACCTTCCTGCTCAGGGCGGTCAGCGCGGTCCCAAACATCGCCTACGCGTGATTCATGTGACTGCTGTCGACAGAAAAGATATTCCGTGGGCCGTGAGGGGCTCGAGAGACAGAGTGAGAGAGGGAGAGAGAGAGAGAGAGACAGAAAGACGGAAACAGGGAGGCATCAAATGTACAGCCACAGGTCGTGCGCGTCGATGTATGACATGACACATCGTCTACCAAGGGAGAACGCTACCGAAATTTTGCAAAGCGTTGCGGCGGCCCACCGTACCGAGACGCATTCGTCCGGCTGGCGTCTTACGGCGTTATTGTCGGCACCGACAAACCGGGGGCTGTATATATATTATCTCATCGGGAGATTTGGCTGCTTGGATGGAGGTGTTGTCACACCATTTTGTTTTTGTTATCACATACATGAAGAGCTGCCTCTGTCGCAGAACAATTCTGATCGAATAAAGCGCGATTAAAACCGCATCGCGCACGACCTCAGTCTCGAAAATCACCACGGACGGCAGGAAAATCATTTTGGAACAGCAACGAGAGACAGCGCACAGCAGCAATGTATGTCTTGTGTGTTTGTATGAGTCCCTCGCTTAGATGAACGACAGGCATGCACACACAGCGTAGTCAGAGCGACCTATCTTCTTCGCATGTACACAACAACACAGCAGTCAGATAGCATCAGCAGAAAGGAGGAGATGTTACTCCACAACAACGACGACAGCAGCCACGCCTATTGCTTTTTGGAGGTTCAACGTTCGTTTAATATGCGCAACATGAAAAAGTCATTTTGTGACTGCGAAAAAAAAAGAACGTTGTACGGTGACTGCGAAAAAAAAGGTTTCACAGTTGCTGCCCCCGCCCGAGACCCGTTGCTCTCCCGTTGGTGTTGGGAACAGGCTCGGCTGAAGTTTATTTTTTGCACTCCTTGTACACGCGCCACAGCTGCTGCTGGGTCACGAGAACACCTTCACACTTGTGTCGGGTACCTTGATCTCGCTTTTGCTGTTGCTTTTGTTTTTGTACATCTGGCTGTCTGCCCATCTGCCGCCTCTTTGTTCTGTTTACTCCGTTACTCCCATGCCCTGATGCGTAGTGCCTGGTGCTGGTAGGTTAGTTTCTCTATTAGTTTCCCTTTGATTTTTTCTTCGCTTCTATATTTTTGTTTTTGTTATATTTTGATCGGTTTCCGAGGGCCTTTTCCCGAACGGTCGGTGCGGTAGCTGTTCTTTGCTTTCATGATTTTGTTTTCTTTTTCCGAGTGGGTTGTGAAGACAACAACAACAACCCTCTTGATGTGTTGTTTCCCCGCGGTGTCCTGTGTGCCGGGTTTTGAAACCACGGGCTCCCCATTTTCTGTGGACTATGGAGCAAATGTGAGAAACAGAAACAACAACAACAACACGTACATACAGCTGCGGCAGGGAAGCAAGTGTCGTGTTACGAGCGTTGTGTGACTCCGTTGCATCTTGCATTGTCCGTGGCACCTAGACCCGTTGGCCTCCTCGCTCCCATTGGTATGGAAACAGGCGCGCAGGCTTCCTCTTCGAGCTACCGTCGAACTCCCTCCGTGTCGTCGGTTCTGCCTGCCCCCTAGAGGCATCTCCCGGCAGCAGATCGGCACGCTTTCTTTCTTCTTCCTCCTGCACAAGGGCCTTTCCCCTTACCGTATAGCTCTGCTATTCGAGTGGCGATACAAGAGTTGGTGTTGACTGGAGAAGAAGGAGGAATCTGCAGCAGCAGCAGCAGCAGCAGACTAAATTTTTGGTGAGATTTGGAGCACCAAACAAGTAGGGCGCCATGTTTTCTCGGTTCAGCTTCGGGGTATCCTCCAAGAAGACGTTCAAGCCGGTCAAGGGCCACCAGGGCGGCTCCAAACGGGAGGAGCTGCACCAGTTCACTCGGAAGACGCTTGGCAGGTCAGCCTCGTGCTCAAGTAGCCCAGTGCCACCGTATGTTCGGCGTGGTGTGTGTGTTTTGTTTTCAGGGAGGATAGGCTCCAAGCACCGGACCACCCTCCGGAACTCTCTCCTTGGCAGAGCAGCAACGATTACTACTGCTGTATGTACTTTGTACTTGGTCGCGTTGATGTGTAATTTAGATACGTACAAAGAGAACCAGGTGTGCTTCCACCCCGCTGCACGTTGTGAGACACTCCTTTGCGTACATATCAGCACGTCATTCTCTCATGTCGTAGCCGATTCGCTTGGTCAGCGGCAGAGGGAGGATGATCTTCTTTTGGGCAGGTTTTGTTGACCGCCTCGCTGTTCAATGATGTACTTCCACAGAGGGCATGGGCACACCCGCTGTCCCTTTTGCTCTTGTGCTGGAATGTTCCTGGTAATCTCAGTAGGGTGTGTCAGGATGAGCGCAACTACAGTTGTGTTGGCTGGCAGTCTCATGATGTTAGCATTGAGCATCGACTGCTGTACGGCGGCGGGTACAGCAGTCCTATTGCTCTACTGCTGCAAACAGGAGCATCATTGGTAGGTTATATTACGCAATTGTCTTGTGACCCACACAGAAACCGGCGGCACATGGTATTGCATGTTTGCACGTTGGCACACCCCACCGCTGAGGATGTGTCTTATCGACAGAATCAAGATCAGAAATCGAAATCAAAAATCAGTTTAAGTCCTGGAAGAGCCAACGAACATCTGCTGTGATTGGATGGAATAACTTTTAACCTGTCCGTCGGAAGCATTTGGATGGAGACCGCACGGAATCTTCCTATGCTTAAACTCGAACTCAAATAAATGCAAAAACATTAAAATCGATGTCGACTTTTGCGAACAGCGCACGTGGCGGGCTATTGGGTGTGTAGGGGCCGGGTTTTTGTGCCGATTTGACACATCGAGGACCACGCCTTGGCATCTTGGCATGTGGAGGACACCCACCACTCACGCGCGAGCGGCAGTAAGCAGAGGAGACGATGTCACAGCCTGGGGCAAACGGTGACGGGCGGTACAACTTGGGGCCGAACACCCCAGCGCAACTGCCCAACAATATAGTTGGGTTTCACGCGGCGCCGACGGCCCGTGGTGTCTGGCCTGCATCGCCACCGCCACCGCCATCGTCCCAGTACCTGCCGCCGCCGCCGCCGCAACAAGCGTAGGAGCGCGAGCCATTCTTTTGGGATGCGGCGCGACGCTGCGGACGTCGTGTCACGGAACTGGCGGGCTGTTCGCCGCTTGAAGTGGGCGCTTCACCGTGTTTCTCAATTTCGATTTTGATTTTGGTGGTTTCTCGATAAGACACCGCGGGCGAATTTGGGCGACTACGTAGGACTTAAACTGATTTTTGATTTCGATTTCTGATCTTGATTCTGTCGATAAGACACATCCTGTGATGGGCGGTAAATCACTCCGACGTCTTTTTCGTGTTTGTTTTTTTTTCGTGGTCGGCCGAAAGAAAGAAATATGCCAATGTGATGCAACTTGCACCAACATTATTCCTGCTTTCACTCCCAGCAGCAGTCGGTATTCGGGAGTGTTGCGGAAGAGCGCACCGTCTAAGTATTAACTGCTGCTGCTGCTGCTGTGGGCTGTGTATGTACGTTGTTTATTGAACGTGTTTTTGTTTCTTATTTTTTGGTGCTTCGTTCTGGTTGCGTGACCCCGTGACCCCCTTGGTGACCCCATGTTGGCTTCCGGAGCCCAGCCGGGGGGATTGACGCAACCGCCTGTCTGTGTGGAGACAGGGATAGGCCTCTGGCATGCCCCCGGCCGTGTAGCTTGTGTCACCATCATATACAGCAGTACGTAGAGAGGACGTTTGATCGATACTTTGGGCCCTAAAGATCGGCGAAACCGATGTTCGTTCCTTGGGAAAATAGTTTTGCGGGTGTTCGGCGGACCCCCGCAAATGTTAAGGTATATCTTGGCCCGGGCTTTGCGCAGGGGCGGGGGAAAGCGAAACACTGGCCGAGTTCACTCGGTTCCACCCTTTATGTGTTGATTTCTGTTGGTACCAAGCAGAAATCAAGCATATGCCGCTCCTTGTTGTGTGCATGAGGTCGGGAACAAACATATAGATACAACAGACTCTTTTTGGGCGGAGACCCAGCAGCAGCCGATGATAAGGTGTTGATGTGGAGTGGAGTATCGGACAGCAGTCAACCTCGGCAGCCGCCAGCGAATCTGGTGTCCTCTTCGTATCTATCTGACGCATGCTGGGGTGAAGAAGGGTCAAGTGTTGTCAAGCGTTCCTCACAACTCATAATTTACACATGTAAATCGTTCGTGGCCTCCACTACATCCATCACTTCCCTGCTCTCACTGCTGTGACAAAGAGAGAATCACGCTTGACGGACCTTGGGAAGATTGCATTCTTTTTGTGTGGGGGGTTGTAATTTTTTGCAAGGGAAGGAAGCGAGCCGTTCTCTGTGGTGGCAACCAGCAACCAGAACCCGTTAAAAGTTAGGAGACAGAAAACGGGCAGACTCCGCAGTGTCCAATTGCGGGCAACCGTCCGTCACAGCACCGACCGTTCTGCTGCTGTTATTATTCTGGCCCTCATCTCTCGAGCCTGTGCTACTGGACGTGACACTCGTTTCAACCACAAGCAATTACGCCTGGTGCGGGTCTGCCAACTAACTTCCTCGTAGCGTCACAAAGAAGACTGTGGTGCGCGATTTGACCGTTCTCTGCTCCGCGCTGTTGTTCGCCTGCCCTCGTGTGTCCGTTGTTCGCCCCTCCACCCCCCGCGCCGCCGCTTTTTTGTTTGTGTTTGGTCGTTAGCGGGAACATGAGATTGGCGGTGCAACTCCCGCCTTCCGAAGAGCTCAACGAGTGGCTAGCTGTGAACAGTGAGTTGAACCGTGTGTGTCTAGTAAAGTTGCTTGATTCGAAGAGCTCACCGAGTGGTTAGCTGTGAACAGTGAGTTTATTCCGTGTGTTTCTTATTGAGCTGCCAGACTCACAAGAGCTCAACGAGTGGCTTGCTGTTAACAGTGAGCTTGCACCGTGTTTTTGTAGTAGAGTTGACAGACTCTTGTCTAGTGAACAGACTCGTGCCTTCAGCTTTTTTTCATGCGAAGTGATCCACAGGAGCGTTCCTGCTATAGGCGTTTTCCAGCTTCTCGGTGTTTGTCTTTTGTCTGCGGATCCACCTTAGGCACGCAGATCTTCATGCTAGCAGCGCTCGCACCTGCTGTTTTCGAATTGCAAGGACTATGTGCTATTTTCTGCCGATAGCTTGGTCGTGGCGGGGCTTATCCTTGGCAAGACCGATGTGATGCGGTACCCTTTGAACTTCCTGTCGTTGCCTGCCGGCATTGTTTCTAAGTGAAACAGGGCGGTGTTGGTAGGCATAACGTCGCTGTTGATATTATCGTTGTGTTTTGGCTGCTGCTATGGCTGTTGTCCGCAGATCTTGCTCCAGCTCTTATGTAGTGCGCAGCAGGTAACATGGTTGCAATTCACTCTCCTGTCCCGCCGCCTACCGTCCTCTCGAGTGGCCAATGGTCTAGCCGCGACGGCATGCCAAACATGAGACCCGCCGCCCCGCGCCAACTGCTCTCATCTCCCCGCCCGCGAACGCAGCTGTTGACTTCTTCAACGAAGTGTCTTTGCTGTACGGCATCGTGGCGGACAGTGCGGCACAGTACGACCGGCCCGGGGAGGGCTTCCCCCCCGGGTTCGAGTACCTGTGGGTGCCCGAGGGCGCCAAGGGGAAGGGCCGCAAGCCGTGAGTGTCGTGCTTTTCTGTTTTTGCCTTTGTTGTGGTGACTGGCGTTCTCTCATGTGTAGATGTGATGCTCGTGCTGCTGCTTCTTTGGAGGGTTCCGAGACTCAGACGGGCGGGTGACGTTCGACGTTTTTTTTTTGTTAATAGAGAGATGCTCCTCCTTACGCTAACAAGGAGGAGAGGATTGGGGATCAGTACAACAGATGTCGCTTTGAAGTTGGGTCCCGGCACGGCTCACGGGGTCAGCAGGACGTCGACAATTTTGGTTTCCAGACGGGAACAATTGCTTCCTTTTCTGGCACCGCAGCGGCCTACTTAGTAATGGTTGATGGGCCTCTGGCGGTAGCGCCCTGTTGGATTGCTCGCGTACAGTGTCAGCAGGGGAAAGCAAAACACGTGACACCGCTTCATACGTAGCAGTACAAGGTCATGGGTGAGAGGTCCAAAGCTTGGCCAACACGCCTGACAATTTCCTGTAGAGTGCTCCACGGAGCATTTTTGTGGTGCTTCTGTATTGCCTTGGTGTTCATCTGCATAGCCAGCCTCTTCGGACACAACTCAGGGATTGTCGAAATCATTGCTTTACTACATGCAGGACCTCTGTACGTTCTTCTTCCCGCTGTAGCCGTAGTACCTGATGATTTTGTTCTCTTGTACGTAAACATTGCTCAACACTAGTTTCCAAATATTCAACCCTAGTTGACAATGTACCGCGCACAATAAGCTAGTGGGTGGTAGCAGGTATCAAACCCTGAGACCGCACGGTATCTTGCTTGAAAACGCGCCTATACGGAGCACACGAAGGATCGGGCGAAGCGGCTGACCACTGACTTTACGTAACGTTTCGTGAGCGTAGCGCCATCCGAAGAGGAACCTCCCGAAGCATATTGCAACGGACCGACCGCCGCCAGCAATTCCGCCGCCCCATGCACCCATGCGGACCGCCTTCGCGATGATACTACTATTTCTATGCGAAATAGAGAGGAGGGGGGGCTCCGTAACCCGAACCCCTGCTAAAAGCNTGGGTTTTCGTCGCTTGGCAACGACGTTGTAAAACAAGCCGCCCCTCCCGGTGTTTGCCATCGGGGTTGGGTTTTCGTCGCTTGGCAACGACGTTGTAAAACAAGCCGCCCCCTCCGGTGTTTGCCATCGGGATTGGGTCTTCGTTGCTTGGCAACGACGTTGTAAAACAAGTCAATTCACTTCGTGAACTCGGCAACCAGGTTACCGTTTTTTTTTTTACCTCCGTTTTTTTTTTGGCGGTAACCATAATGGTGGTCGAGTAGATCATGTTGTG